GTTTAGTTTTGTTTTTGCTTCCCAGGAGATTGAGTCAGAGGCTTTTTGTGAACATAAAACTGAGTGGTGTTGACAAATGCTGCTGCTTCTCCAACCTCAGTCACTCTGGAGAGGATGATTGGAGAGCTGCTAGAGACGATTTCTAAACACCAAGCACCATACAAATGTCCTTATGGCATTTTTGTTCAAATTATATATTTATACACTTTTTTTAAAAGAATAATTTTTACTAGGTTTTTCCCTTCATAGCCACCACCATTTTCTGGAATTTGGGGAAACATGAGTCTTGAAATTTTTCTTTTCCAAAGAGAAGCCTATTAAATTGAGCTAATTAAAATTGATACATTTGTCAGTACCATCTGAGTGTTAGGGAGCCCTAGTGGCATAATCCTGAGCAAGATGGTCCTGCTAACCCCAAAGACAGAACCTCTGCCAGCGGGGATCCCCCAGCAGAAAAGGGAAGGGCTGTCTCCTCTCAGGCAACTTGCAGCCTCCAAAAACCTGTTGGAGGGTCTACAGCGAGTGAGTTCCGAATCATTGGCAACAGGTTTTTGAGGGGTTTTGAGAATTTTAAACTTCATCTCTCCGCTCAAAGAAACCCCCACTGCTTTCGAGTAAGTTCCGTATCACTGTAACCCTCTGTCCGGCTTATGAAGATATGAAAAGATTTACAAAGCTGTAGATCTTTTGAGTGAGACTGCCCTTCTTTCTTCAAGGAGCAGCTGTGGAACTGAACCATATTCCTTTCAGTTAGCAGTATATGCTGCGCCACCAGAGCCCCTTGAACTTGTACTTGCACTCAGGCCATCATCTGTAGAGCTACTGGCCAGCTTTTCCAGTTAGCAGCACCCTTGGGCTCTCTCCTGTGTCCTCACCTTTCTTTTTCCCTTCACAGTGCAAGCAGCTGGTGAGCCTCCTATTGAGTACAGCCGTGCTGTCCATGCCTTCCTCGGGCCGGACCCAGGGGGGCATCATTAGCTTCGCCCATGGAGAGTATTTCTATAGCTTGTTCTCAGAAACAATCAACACTGAATTGTTGAAAAATGTAGATACTGCTGTGATGGAGCTCATGAAGTCATCTGAGGAGAATCCTAAAATGGTACTGAAGTTTTCCTTTAAGTGAATGTTTTCTTACATAGTGTTTATAACAGGATTGGCATATGCATGAAGTGTTAAAAACAAAAATCTGTTCCTGAGAGGTTAAAATCAGTGGAAATAAAGCGCACCTTCATCTGGAGTTTGTGGATGTTATTGGTACTTGATATGTTATTTTTTCATTTTCTCGTGCTGTTAATGTCTCCAACCTGACTTTGTGATGTGGAGCTGTGTAGTATGCTAGTTTTGTAGGACTGGGCTTCTGCACTGGCCCTTCTGCATGGACCCTGCACTCAGGAACTGGGCCACACTGCGTTGTTCTCCTGTCTCCCTGCTTCACCCCTCAGGGTCAGCCTCTGAGCTTATTATTTAAATGGTTATATAACCTTTGGTTTCCTAAACTGAGAGTTTCATATTTATCCTGTTCTGTTTGCAGAAATGTATGTCACCATTTTAACAATTAGCATGTATTTCCTACTGAGTTAGTGTTTATCTTCCAACAGTGCTTAAGTAGATCCAATTTGCAGTTTCTCTTTTTAAAAGTTACAAATAAAAAGTTTGGTAGACCCTCCGTGCCTCTCAGTGCATGTAAGTTTTCAAGAGTCTTTAATGAGAGAGCTTGGATCTCCATTTCTCAAAAATCTTGAGAACTTTAACTCATTCTGGATGATCCACAGAAACAATTTGTTAATTCTGATGGTCATACCCATAGAATAGTTGATAAACTCAACATCTAATTTAGTGACATTTATTCTTCATAAATGAGGCCACCTTGTGCTGCATGTGGGAAAAATCACATGTTAAAGTACTTTCTCAAGTTTGAGGAGTTGTGAGGTATAAAGGCATACTTCTCTGGAGTAAACATTTTAGAGAAATTTTGTGCTTTCTTTATAAGAATACTTCAAAAATAAAAGTAGCCTTTGTCGTTTAGCTGTTGTCTCAGAATTGCCGGTTTTTAGTCATAGTGGACTTGTTGCAGGTGAGCGCTGTTTTGAATGGCATGCTGGATCAGAGTTTCAGAGACCGTGTGACTCAGTTACACCAAGGATCCAAGCTCGTGATGGCAGTTCTGCAAAACTGGAGGGAGTGTGAATCCTGGTGGGCCGGCGATTCTGCTCCTGAAAGCAAAATGGCAGTGCTGGCCTTATTGGCAAAAATTTTACAGGTATTTTGACAGACTATAAAACGCAATCGTAGTTACCATTTTGGATTCTGTGATGTGCATCTTGAAAAATTAAATCACTGTAGCTTCAAAAGCTCATCTTTAAAAATTAAATCACTGTAGCTTCAAAAGGTCATCACTACCAGGTAAATAAAATATATTTAATGTAAATAAAATATATGTAATAGATTGCTGATGACCTTAGCTAATGTTTCCATTTATTGTACATCATTATCATTCACTATACTTATCACTTCTCGTACTTTTTTTTATGTACCTTTGTATGCATTTTCTTAAGAGAGAGTTTTCAAGTATTTCAGAACAAGGATTGTCAAAATACTTTTTTTTACAATGTTTATATAACAGTATTGTTTTATAGTAAAGAAAATAAAAATTTAGATGCCCAACAGTAATTATGAACATTTGTTATACATAAATAAAAATTGTAAGTATCAGATATAAATAAGAGGCACATGAGCTCTTACGGCCTAGTCTAGAGAGCTGTGCACCTACCCAAAGTGGCTGTCTCTTTGGTGGTTCAAATCCACCAGTGGATCCAAGGGATAAAGATGCTTCCAGTGTAATAATTTACAGCCTCTGAAAACTCACTGGAGGGTCAGCTATGATTAAGTGTCAACTCCACAGCAATGAATTTGAGTTTGGGGTTTATTCTAAACCCAACCCAAATCCACTGCCATCAAGTCAGTTCCAATTCACAATAACCCTATAGGACAGAGAAATGTCCTCGTAGCGTTTCCAGTGCAGTAAATCTTTATGAAAGGAGATTGCCACATCTTTTTCCTCCTAAGCAGCTTGTAGTCACAATACAGAAGGCTCAGAATAACTTTTTAATCCAGTTCTGAAGTTTAAATGTTAAAAGTATTATAATGGAAATCGAGGCACTTGGAATGTAACGTATGTCATTTCCCCTCTTTTAGATTGATTCATCTGTATCTTTTAACACAAATCACAGTTCATTCCCTGAGGTCTTTAGAACATATACTAGTCTACTTGCTGATTCAAAGTTGGGTCTACATTTAAAGGTAATGATTTTTTAAAAATTTTATATATGTGTATATATAAATAAAATTGTTGTTATGTACCATTGAGTCAGAACCAACTCATAGCTGACCCTCCAGTCAGTTACATATGTATGTGTATATTTTAAGATTACAGTCTCCATTATATTTATGATTTTTTAATATTTTTACTTAGATCATTTCAGACATGGACAAAAGCTCCCACATGTTATCACCACTCTCAGTAATTCTCTGCTCTGAGCTAATGCTTTCTTCACCTTGAATGAAACTGCTTGCATAAAGTTCTGTAATATGTTACAAAGATAATATGCGTATCTTTCAGAAAATTAAGGACATTTTGAAAGTATAATCACAATGATTTTTTTATCATTGCTTTAAAGTAATTTTAATGAAAATTTATTGGATTTCCATTCATTCATTATTGCACTTTTCTCCCAGCCCACCCCTCTCCACCACAGTATACTCTTCTCTTTGAAAAGTAAAAGAAAAGTTCCCCCATTGTTTTACAATCCCTCCCATTAGGTCCACTCCACTATGCAGCTTTCGTTCTGGAATCACAATGATTTTATAACAACAACAACAACATAATGTTAACATGGATCTGTGTGTGTGTGTTGTTATTGGTACGTATCATAGGGTCAGAAAAAAAAAAAAATATATATAAATATATATATATATATGATTTAAATTGTCTTTGTTGGCATTGTTATATAATGAATGATAGCCTGTAAAACAATTAATCTACTTTCCTATTATTAAATAATTTAAAGTATTAGTGATTCCTAGGGCTGAATTAAAATATAATTTTGAGGTTGCTAATTTTAAATGTCCTTTGAGAAAGACATGATACTGGGCAGGGTGGAAAGTTGGTGAAGAACCAAGTGGATTGACAACGGTGACTGTAGCAATGGGCTCTGTGTGTCAGGAAGTAAGAGGTTCAAGCAGGATAGAACAAGGTTCATGTCTTTTTTTCATAGGGTTGCTATGAGTTCTACTTGACTCGACAGCACCTAACAACAATTTTAAATAGTATTATAATTAGAGTTTAAATACTGGTAAAATGTGACCTCATGAAATGGATTTTTTACTGGATAATGAGGAAGATTAATGAAGTGTCTTATTTCTCAACATGAAGACATTTGAGAACTCAATACAGGGCAAAAGGAGCAGCTTCTAGTTCCCTTGTAAGGTTGATATGAAGATAACAAATTCGCTCCACAGGAATAGCGGTACATTATTCAATAGCTTATTGAAGATGTGCTTTTCATGCAGCACTTGTTCAAGATACCTGTACTGAAGCTCTTACTTGTAAAAGGACAAAACACTCTAGAATCAACATGCAGTGACCTGTTTGTTTATACTCATAGAGCCTTTTTTTGCCAGTTACCTCTCTGGGAAGGCTGGTTACAGAATTTTCTTAGCTAAAACAACTAACTAGTTGTTTTGGGGTTGGTTTTGTTTTGTTTTATTTTGTTTTGTTTTAGTTACTGTTGTTTTCAAAAACTTTTTAATTATAGTGATATATACATATATATGTTGTTTTTGTTTTTTGAGTTGAGCATGACTCATCGCAACCCAGTGAACAAAAACCTGAACTCTGTTCTGTAACTATCATCATTTCTCTAAGTTCATAGAGTTTTCAGAGCCATTTTCTCTGGGAAGTGGATGCCATTCCTGCCTCCAGGTCTCAATCTGGGAGCTCCAACAAACACTGTCTACCACAGATAACTGTTGTGTGTGTTCAACATCACAGCAACCCTAAGGTACTTCAATACAGCAAATTAACAAACCAGTGCTGTACCATGTAGAGGAACATTCTCATCCCAAGCACAATTAATATCATGCTTGAGACCGGAGGACCGAACTACCTTTTTAAATACAAGGCCTGCCTACCAGATCTTGGTTGACTCTAAATAAGAGGCTTCCTGCCCACAGCTCATTGTTAGCTAAATCCAGCAAATCCAGTAAGCTCACACTTGATTATGAACAAAAAAAACAACCACCAAGTAGTCCTCACCAGACCCTCACCAAAACAAGAGTACTCATCTTCCAGAATCCAGCTGCTTCACACATGAGCCTCCAGACTGGAGACTTAGTTGGCACAACTGCCTTTAATACAAGGCCCTTATTGTTGTTGATAAGTGCCATCAGGATGGATGGTGAAGAGATTGAGATTGTCCTTGGAGGCAAGGATTCTGAGGCTCCGTCTAACTTACTTTGGACATGTAGTGAGGAGAGACCGGTCCTTGGAGAGGGACATCATGCTTGGG